ATACATACTGAGTCTTTATTTCGGGCTTCCAGTGGAGTGATAAGATATTTTTCCACACATGCTCGCAAGGAATGTGTTGAATTAGTCAACAATGAACACAATTTTGGTTAGCAAAATCCCTCTCTTTATGCATAAAAATTCCGTGTTTTGTTCTCTAGCTTGTTAAGAAGTTTGGTTTTTAGTCCGGCTAGAACCTGGGATATTTCCTGCGAGATGGCAGAGAGCCTCAAGGAAAAGATTAATTTTTTTCTGTACTCATCCGAGATTGAGCAATTATATACAGTGGACTCCTGGATCAAAAGTACCGAATATAAAACAAAAAGATGCTGGAACTCGTTCAAGAACAAATATGCATTATTGACTAAGTGTCAGGTCAAGATGGCTGGATATTGGCCGAGTTTTTTTTCTTCTATTTCCTTTGTTGGCCTTTTTATGGACCGAGACGAAGTCGAGGTCGATAAAAACAAAAAAAATAAATTTTTGCTTCAAAAGAATTTGTGTTGACAAAGCAAACCGGATCTTCATTCCGAAATTTATTGAAAGTCGTATTTACACGGGAAAGAAAACCACTTAGAAAGTGAATTTGCAATCAAGACCTATGGCAATTTAGTTGGGAATTTCAGCTCACATTGATCGTTTTATTCAAGTTTATACGTTTTTAGCAATTTCTGTAAATTTCAACGAGGACTTCGTAAAAGCTTTCTATTAGCAGATTCAAAAGAAACGAACTTAGTTAAACGAAAACAGTATGTAATGTACTGCGACTAAAACAATGTAATGTACTGCGACTAAAACAAATAGCTGAACAGCGTTTGAGCCGATGTAAGCGTTTCGGTACTGTTGTCTTTCGGTTTTACTACGTTTGTCGTATTGCTGATAATATTAATAAAGAAATTTAATATAGTTAAGTCCTAAAACTGAAATTAAATTTTCAACATCATAAATTTTAAAACTGACGTTCGTTTGCTGAAAAAGCTCTGGAAAAGACTAACATGATTCCCAGGCTTGCAAACTTCTCAGTGGTAGACCAATTCTGACCACAATGTTCGCGTCTTCTTTGTGCAACTTTGGAGTATTTTTCAGTAACGCATTAAACTTCCTCACGTCTCGTAAAATTTCTCGTCACTTTTCTTCACAATTTTTTCCCGCATTCTCGGTCAGTATTGCACTTATTTATTGATAATTTAAATGTCAGTCTGCTCTTTTATGGAGTGCCGGCGCTTTGGTTGGTTTCTCACATTTTTGATGAGTTTATTAGGAATCAGCAACTTGATTACAAAATAAGAATAAATTTATTATTCTTTGTTACTCCTCACTTTTTCACATCGGAGACAATTTTTTGTACCCTGACATTTTGATTCAAGATCATATTCAGAGACGCGTTTTTCTAATTCCTCCAGTGGAAGAGTTCAAGAAGAGAATTTCCGACAAAAATACAATTATTGCGTCATGTGTGAAACAAATATACGCCACTTACATTCAAAGAAGGTGTTTGCTTAAAAGCGTTTTTTTTTTAAATTCGTTACACGTTAATACTAGTATGTCACGGTTTTTACCGTTAAAGTGCCAAAGGCACGAGATTATTTTTGCGTTTTCTGGTGAATAGTTGTATTCTTTGTCTGAGATGACCGTCCTAAGCGCCTAGCGAGTTCTCCGCGACCATCTTTTACGCATTGAAACGACGATTTGGCGACCAAAAAGTGTCTAACTAATCGCGCGGCCAAAACGATCATGCTATGTACCTGTGACGAAGGAAATTGTGAAGACACGTCGGAAACTATTGTGGAGAAAGGAGAAATTACGAAGAAATGACGAACGTATTGCGCGGTCGGAGCGGCAAATGATGTTAGCTACAAGAATAATACACATACACAGGGTATTTCTATACAGTACTTTCCAAATGATATAGCTGTATGGCCGAAATGGACGCTTTTTGATGGTCGACATTGAGGAGATTTTACTCTCTAAAGTCGTCGGCCTTACCCTCCGTCCCGGCTTCGAAGATGGCTGTTACGAACACATACCGCTAGTCAATTCAGGGGAAGATCATGGCCAATAAATAAAGAAAAAAAGAAAGCTGATTAAAGGGCCTCGTTCCACACTAGACATGATTGTTCCACATTCTTTTCGTCTGGCATTTCGCAAGCAAGGAATGGTGAGCTTCTTATACTTGTTGTTTATTTCACGCGACTGAGACGTACTTATACGCCATGTCATTCCATAGGACTACATTTGCAACTTTTCTTTTCGTTTGAGAATCCTACCGACTGTGATTTCCAGCATTTGTAATAAATGTCAAGTGCTTTCCTGAGCTGACCTGCATCCTTTCGCCTGAAAAGTGCGAAACCTCAGTCGGATACTGGCATAAACACAAACAAGGCTTAAAGGGGCCGTGTATTCTCCCATCTTTGGCCATCGATTCCCCCATGCCCTCAAGAAAGTAAAAGTCGCAACAATAGCATGCCATTGTGATAGTAGCAGTGCAACTAGATAAATTGTGAAGAAATGATATGTTAAGATGGCAACAAAAATTAACACAGCTACCAATTCTTATCATAGACTTCACCACATAAAACTAAACACAGACGCAAGGCATTAAACATTCAGTAACGGGTGTTTTTTATCCTAATCTTGACCTGAACACAGCAGACAAGAAACCGTCTTTGTCAGTCTTCGTCGAAATCTTCATTTGATGCATGCGGTTGTCCTTCGTAGGGCTGAACCATACTCGTAACTTTCATTTATTCGTTACTTCTCGAGTACGGTGTACCACAGCTCACAGTAGAGCTTACGGACGGTAGGTATGAAAGTTATTTCAAGAGTGTTTCAACGCTGACTAATACAAAATTACAGCAGATTTGAGAGATTTGTTGGTGTCAACTGAAAGTTTTCACAGTTTTCTGCGTCATCACCCGCTTATTCGTCATCAGTCTATTGGACACTCTTACGGAAAAATAAGAGCACTTTAGGGCCCGAAAAAAACCGACGTTTAATTTTTTTTTTTTTTTNNNTGAGCTAACTAGATACGCAAAGAAAAAAAAGGTTTCGTGTCATAGGAACTTTAAGGATCTGGATTTTTAACATTTGCTTTTCTTTTGAATAAGTATCGGTGGCACATCGAGTAACTAGTATAGGATAAACCAATTAATTGCAGGCTTAAGATAAAATGAATAAAAAGTCTCTTCAAATCAATCGTGGACAGAAAATTAAAACCCTCATGATTTAACGTGGTTTCGTCTGTCAACCCCATGAAAACAGATGCATTTTCTTGACAGTGGCTTTAATAAAACGAAGGCGTTTGTTTGTTTGTTCGTTATCTCTATTTTACCCATGTTCATTCTCCTAGGGTTATCTCCGAAGCTCGACCTAAAAGAAGTAAGAAAAAAGTGCCTTTCTGTTATCTGGGATCCTTAGGCCGAATATACGATAAGTATTTAAGTATAAAGGTAGGCTACTTCAATGCAGACGAGGTTATGCTTAAGCTATGTTTATATTGATTTATTTACTCTTTGCTTGAGGAATACTAGAATATCACAGTCTGCGGCCTTAAAGCTCCTCAACCTCTCCTTTTATTTGAATAGGTATTAGTGACATGTTTAGTAATATCACCGAAAAACTCCCATACCTTTCGCAGATTACACTTACTTGAGATATTTTGTCGTCTCATTCACGCGGGTTCATGGGTTACGTACATGTAAAAGTTTCTACCTCTCTCGGAGTTAACTCTGAAGCTAAGCTTATAAGAAGAAGGAATAAAGTGCCTCTCTGAATTCTGGGATCCTTAGCGAATAGACGACAACGTTGATAAAGGAGTTGATGAACTGCATTATCTTCATGATATGAAATACTAGGTACGGCCATGATCGAATAGACACGCCAGATATGAACACAGTGTTTATAACCTGGTGAGGTCCCCAAGTTAGAATAAACGCTCCCGTTATAGTACGCAGGGTTTTTGCCAATTTCTTATCTCGATCGTCTACTTGGACTTCGTTCGGAAGTCGATGACGTTGTTTTCTCCATATAAGAACATAAGCAATGATTGTAATCAGAAGGGGAGCGAGGAGAAGTACGTTTATTATGATTGTGAAGCCCATCCAGGATATACCGTCGTAAAAGCTAAAAAATCGACACGACATTCCCACCAAACCAAAGATCCACGGGATTCCGATCACGCAGGTGTAGAAACGTAGTGTCAGCGTTCGATGGTGGAGAGGCCATAAAATGGCGTGCATTCTCTCCAGTGAGATGCTAGCGAGCGTAAAGATAGACACTACACCAGTAAAAATGTCTGTACATTGAAATACGAGAGACAGCAAATGATCTTCATAGAAACCAACAGCAATCCACAGAGGAACTGATAAAGTTCCCACAAATGTGTCCGCAACGGTCAGGCTTAATATCAAGTAACGCGCACGATCTAGGAGTTTCCGTTTTACAAATATCATAATGGTAGCTAGATTACTTGTAGTTATCACTACCGCTATCAAAGAATATGTTACAGTCCAAAAAACATTCCACCAGGAGGAAAAATCCATGAAGCAGGCTCGCTAATTCTGTAAAATAAAAACAATTCTGATGGCAAATTTGACACGGAACTTTAAGTAGAGAACACTTTTAAAAACAGCTGTTGCTTCTTAAGTCGTAAACAGGAAGTTTTCATATGCTTATCTCATGTAAATACATTTCCTTGAATGACAAGTCTGGCATGAATTATCACTTTGGCGTCGGCACACGATGAAATATGAAAAGAAAACGTTTGACGGAAGAGCAACTCATCCTCCAGTCCTTCGCAACTGATAAAAAACGTTTTGCACAGAGGGACAGGTTCGGTTGTGCTAGGACCTTAGCCTTCAGCAAGGGTGCTGGAAACATTTCACTTAATAGAGAGAACAATTGTACATCTGTCTCATCAAACTTTGAAAGAGGTGCAGATGCATGGTATTAGTGGGAGTAGAAAGGAAACTTCATCTTAATATAGCTTTGAGCAAAAAGTTTTGTACGAAGCCTCTACTGAGTTTTTTGGACTTCAGACAAATACTTTTCAGTTAAAATATTTAAATTCCAATCGCAATTGATAGAGAAATGTAGAATTTCATGTATTGATAATGACTTTGTCCTCCCGTATGCAAAGAAAATAAACAGCTTGTTGAATGGCGAACGCGGCGAATTGTGCATGGCTTTATCTTAAATTCATTATTTCAATGAGAACGAACTGGTATTGAAGGTAAAAGTGTTTTCTTTTTTCATCTTTTTTCTTAATGTTCTCCATATCGAGTTGAACAACCTTGGTTAAGAATGAGAGAGAAAAACACAAAATAATCTTAAAAATTGCCATCTGTAGGATATTGGGTTGGTTTAAACTCGAAAGGACTCTCACCTGTCTTTTTAAGGATGAACAACAAGTTTTGAAATTGAGAAAAGCCAATTCCTTGATATACGTGTTAAGTCAGTTTTGGCGTTGAATGAGAGATAAAACCTCCCGAAAGATTGTATTTCATCTTTCTTTAAGTTATGAAGCGAACACAAAGATCTCGAATTATTAGTACAAATATCTACTTCTGAAGCAATGGTGTCAATAATCAATAAGTTTTGACATCTTCCTGTCAAATAAAGGGAGTATTGCGTTTCTGGAGTCTCACGAGACAAAGTTATATTGTTGATCACCTCTAAATTTCTTTCGTGTTCTTAAAAGGCTTCACCGGAGTAGTTTGAAAACCTGCTACCACATAAACTTCGACTCAGCTATAGCTTGCTTCGTGTTTACACATTACGCAAATATTCACGCGACACCGGGTTAAAGCATTAACAGGAAAAAATATTGGTCTAGGAGTTGTATTACACAAGCAGCCTGAATACTTAATAATATTGTAACTATGGAGATTCAACCATGGGAACAGCGTCATTTTTTAGTCATGATATTCTAAAAGCAACATAAGAAGGCTGGGAAGGCCGCTTTTGCGCTGCTTCTCTAAGGGAGAGGTACATCCCAGACACCAAGTAGTTTTTGCTTCACTTAAGATTCTCAAGGGTAACCTAAAAGTCTGAAAATTGTCTTCAAATGCCGGTGTGTGAAATTCGATTATGAACGCGAACATCTTAAAACGACTCGGTAATCAGGCTGCAGACTCATTAAATGGGAACAGCGTCAATGTGATGTTTGCAAACCACTTGGAGGCCTGCTTCCAAATAATTAAACCTGGATTAGGTTAGCCTACCTCAGTTATACATAGTGCGATGATGCTCGTGTGGGAATTGAGTTGAAGCATGAACAAGAAATTTAGTTATTATGAAATCTGTCGCCTTCTGTAACCTAATGCGACTAAAGAAATAAAAAACGAATCTCGATAATCATGGGTATGAATTGTTGGGTTTGGTTTGTTTAGCCTAAAACTAGGATGTGACCGTTTTTCTTTTCGCTTTTGTACTTTGCCGTTTAGGTTTTTTCACTTTTAGATAACTCGTGTCCTCTTACATACTGCCACACTTGGTCACATGACCAAAAAGCCAGAGTTTCTCGCACGTTTTCCTGAAGTAGTGTGTATTAAATTTTTTTAAATTGTCCTCTTCGACTTCGTATGGCACAGAATGTAAGTAGTATATTTTATGTTTATTTTGTCATTTGATTTTTTTCCTTTAGTTTTCCCCGTTTTGTGACTTTCGACCGGAACTACTTTCGTGATTCGTTAGTGAATAAAGTGTAATAGACAAAACATGCTTTAAAAGAGAGGACGCCCCTGAAGCAAATAAGGTTTTACTGCACTTGAGCCTACCGTTTCTGATATTGTCCTCACATGTGTTAAAAATTTCGAATATGGTTGCCACTGACCGATTTCATAAGACTTGATAACCACGTCGCAAATTCATCAAATGGTGAGAGTCTCTACGCATTTTACATTTGTTGCATTGGTTATTGCAAAAAATCACCACTTTAGCTAACAAATATCATTATTCGAGTCAAAATGCCTTAGTTAGCTCGATATTATTAAAAAGAGATCACAAAGAGAGGACGATTAAACTTGTGTTTATTCCTTGTACGTTGTAAACTGTTGTCATTTCCAAGGAAAGAGATGAAAGAAACATCTTTAGAGCAAACACGAAACGCCTCTTTTCTGGTGTGAACAACCAAAGGAAATGTCAGACACATAACCACTATCTCAGTTCTCTATTTATGCTGAAAGCTAGAAACTGCTTTACCCTAAAAAACAAAAACCGTAAGACGTACAAATCATTTCCTAAAGCATATTTAATTGGAATTTATTGATTTATCTATTCATTTGTTTCTCGAAGGATTGCAATCTTACTTCTCGAAGAATCAAAGATCTAGAACAAGAGCTTTTGGAGGACAAATACAAAAGTATCATCTTTATGTGAGCATTTTTTGATGAAGATTGACATTTGCTGTCGACAAGATGATTGAAATACCCTGTGACATGTCCCCTCCAATGTTGGTGGTTTAACCGTCGTTATTCTTCCTTTATACATAGGTATAAATCTAAACAGACTAGGAGAAGTCGTGGCTGTGAAAAAGTGCTCGATGCGGGTTGCAGAGCGTTTCATCGTCAGACGATCGCAGCGCAAGCTGCGTGAAACTCAGAGTAATGGCGAAACGATCTTCCAGTCATTAATTTATAACCGCTATGAATNTCTGAGAACTGCTATTTTCTTATTAAAAGATTTTAACAGGCTTTTAGTGTGTTCTTGCCAAGAAAGCTTACTGTCTATAGTTACTCCTAGACATTTACATGATGATTTAAATTCAATAAATTTTTCCCCATACTTCAAAGGCAGCAATGGACCAATGAATCTTTGTTTAGATAATAATAAGGCTTCTGACTTAGTTTCATGAGCAATCAATCTGTTGGCACCACACCAACTAAATACTTGATCCAGAATATCTTGCATGGCCTTAGATATTATATCAATATTATTACTTACTGTAAATATGGTAGTATCATTAGCAAACATATAAAGTTCTCCTGAGGTTATAGATTCAGGAAAGTCATTGATTATAGATCAGGAAAGTCATTGGTTATAGATTCAGGAAAGTCACTGCTTTACCCTAAAAAACAAAAACCGTAAGACGTACAAATCATTTCCTAAAGCATATTTAATTGGAATTTATTGATTTATCTATTCATTTGTTTCTCGAAGTATTGCAATCTTACTTCTCGAAGAATCAAAGATCTAGAACAAGAGCTTTTGAAGGACAAATATAAAAGTATCATCTTTATGTGAGCATTTTTTGATGAAGATTGACATTTGCTGTCGACAAGATGATTGCAATACCCTGTGACATGTCCCCTCCAATGTTGGTGGTTTAACCGTGGTTATTCTTCCTTTATACATAGCTATAAATCTAAACAGACTAGGAGAAGTCGTGGCTGTGAAAAAGTGCTCGATGCGGGTTATACATAGGTATAAATCTAAACAGACTAGGAGAAGTCGTGGCTGTGAAAAAGTGCTCGATGCGGGTTGCAGAGCGTTTCATCGTCAGACGATCGCAGCGCAAGCTGCGTGAAACTCAGAGTAATGGCGAAACGATCTTCCAGTCATTAATTTATAACCGCTATGAATAAATCTATATATTTGTTTCCCTGATGAACACTTATTCATTAAAATTCATTATTAAGCTCAACACGGGCGCTGTTCATGTTTACTGTTGCGCGAGTGCTCCGTTTAAATTCATATAGCGTAAGAAATATCGCATTGTTTGTCGGGTAAATCGTTTAATTTAAGACGCGTTATGTATTTTTTTTTTCAGTTATCTAGTTCAGTTAAACGAAGCTAACCATGTACTTGCCAAATACGGAGGGAGTCAAGAAGTAAGTTATTACAGTTAATTTTCTGTTTGTTTCGAATACTATTAAGGCTGATTGCCAACGTGGTTACCTTATACTTTAGATCGAATTGTATTGTATTGAGTTATTTTGAATTTTAGTTCGAATAGCGTGTGTAATTATTTATATGTAATTGTATATATATATATCCATTTTCAAAACGTTGCAATTTGAGAATATATATCAAATAATATATTGATTTAAAAGTATTACTAAAAGTGTTCATTGCTTTATTTTTTAAAGTAACGTGTTTATATTGGTCACCTCCTTAAAATCAGATGCAAATTTTTTAACAGACGCTTTGATAATGAAAAGCCTTTGTTGGTTGGTTGATTGTCTTTACCGAGTCATATTTCCTCTCCTGAACTCTTTTCTGGAGATCACCTCAGGGAACGTCACTAAGAATAAAATGCTTCTCTGTAGTCTGAGATCCTTAAGGAATAGACGGCAAAGCTAACAAATGAGTTAATGAACTGAGTCATCTTCATGACATGAAATACTAGGTGGGGCCATGATCGACAAGACACGGAGAATATGATTACAATGCTTATAACCTGGTGAGGTGCCCAAGTTAGATGGAACACTCCGGTTATAATAAACAGAGTTTTCGCCAATCCCTTGTCCTGATCGCCCCCAAGTATTTCGCTCGGTGGTCGACGATGCTGTTTCCTCCATATAAGAATATGAGCTATGGATGTAACCAGAAGGGGAACGAAGAGAAACGTATTTGTTATGATTGAGAAGGCGAACTGGAATATAATGCGGAATTGAAAGAGCAGACGAGACGAAATTCCAAGCAAACCGAAGACCCACGGCATTACAATAAAGCAAATGTAAAATCGAAATGTCAACGTTCGGTGACAAAGAGGCCATAGAATGGCGTACATTCTTTCCAGTGAAATACTAGCAAGGGTAAAGATAGACACAACACCAGTAAAAATGTCCACACATTGAAATAGGAGTACCAAAAACTCCTCTTGTAGATAGATCCCAACAGCAATGTAAAGAGGAACTGACACAGTTCCTACGAGTGTGTCCGCAGTAGCCAGGCTTAATATCAAGAAACGAGCACGCTCCAGAAGTTTCCGTTTTACAAAGATCACAATGGTAGTGAGGTTACCTGCAGTTATCAATATCGCTATCAAACAATATATTACAGTCCATAAAACGTTCCAGTAAGAGGAGAAATCCATTAAGCAGGCTTGCTGAACCTGAAATAAGAAAACAATACTGATGGCCAATTTTTACAGAGAACCTAAAGTAAAGAACAATTTCGAAGCAAATGGCGGTTAGTTAGTTTCTGCTGCATGTCAAGTATGCACATGTTAGTTAATGAAAATGCATTCCTTGTTTGACAGTTCTGGCATGAATTACCATTTTGGCATCGGCGCTCGTCGGAATATAACTCTTGCTAAAGGAAAGTGTTTGAAGGCAAAATCATCCTACTACACCCTAAAATTACGAACAGAGTATTATAGAAAGGGAAAGTTTTAATTCTGATATTGAATGAACCCATCAGCACAGGTGCCGAAACACTTCACTAAATGAAGCGAGCAATTTGGCATCTGTTTCATCCAAGTTTGTATAATGCGTTAGACTTGTGATAGTAAAAGATGAAAAAAAAGAAAACTTTAGCTTTAGGTAGCTTCAAGAAGCTTTAAAAATTGAACGACACTAAATTGATTGCTCTCTTTAGTCTTCAAAAAAATTTTCTAATAAGAGATTTTATAAAATATTGTCCATGTCTAATCACAATTTATTGACAAATGAGGAAGTCTATATATTGATGATGACTTATTCCTCACGTATGAAAAATAAATCAATCACCTCTTAAATGACGAGCGCCTTTGTTCGTGGCTTTATCTTAACATTCTTGTTTCAATAAAAACGAAATCTTCTTGGTGGTGAAAGCGTTTGTTTTGATGATAATGTTCTTCAAAAATTTCTAGCGATAATTTCTAGCCTCCTTGCGGTCTCCCCTCTTAAATACGTATGTCCGCACACATTGTGGATATCCGAACATGGAAAAAAATAATGTGGGGATACGATATGCAAATTTTGTGACGTCAGCACGGCCCTAGGGGTCTGGGGAGAGTGTACATCTTAATTAAGATGGCAGTCCGATTATCTAGTACACCTGGAGTAAGATGATGTTTTTATAATTTGTTTAATTAATAGTTTAAAAACAAATATTACATCGCAGCCAAGGGCCTGAATTGCATAATATTTTATAATGATATACATATATCTTATTGACCAAGCGCGAGGGCCGTACTGGGAAAATATTGGCCCGAGTTCTTGACAGTACGGACCTCGCTGCGCTCGGTCCGTACAAAAAAGACTGAGGGCCGATATTCTTCCAGTACGGTCCCGAGCAAGCTTGGTTAATAAGAGATTTATTATACGACTGAAGTTCAAAGCGACACAAGTGCGGTATCATTCGGGACAGTGTCCGGTCCAATACTTAGAGAATATTGGACCGGCAATAGAGCATTTTGATTGGTTGATTTTAGTTATTGGCCCTCTGGCTGTCCGAGTCGTGTAATAATATGTTATAATCGATACATACAGGAGTATAATGCATACAGGAATATAATAAAAAATTACAATTGTATCAGAAACTATAAAAAGATAAAATATCACTAAGATCGAGTAATACTAGGCAATTCGCTCCGACGAAGGGCTAACGCTCGAAACGTCAGCTTTTGTAATCATTACGGTGGCCAATTTACCATTTCAACTTTGATGATATATCCAAATTATTTCGTTACTCCCACCGACGCAGCCCCAAACAGTTTCTTTCGAAACTATCAGCCTTAATACTAGGCAAGCTTGATCAATCAAATATTCACACGGTGTTGTTTGCTAGTCGGGACATGCTCGAGATGAACGACCGCTGAAAACGCTTGGTGCGCACGCCAGGGAGGTCGTACTTTCTAATTCTCACTAGGGTTATAATGGTTTAAATGATTGGTAGGAAATAAGTAAGATAGTTTGTGGTCATTAGAGATTGCATCAAACAGTTTAGATCACTGTTCCTCGCGCCGAGACTGCAAGGTGTCTAAATTATAGTTAGTTCAAGCATAGACTGTAAGAACAATCTGGTAAGATTATACTTAACGCCCTTTTCTGTACTCGTTCAATATCATTGCTTAAATACTTGGGCAATGCATGGTGAAAAACGGGCAAACAATATTCCAGGATAGGTCTATTAACAGTGGAGTAAAAGTTGATTATATCACGAAGGTCCACCCCTGAGGAGAACCAGGAAATATAATCTCTTATTGGTTTTCTTGATAGCCTCAGATATATGATCATTCCACATAAGATCATTAGAGAGAGTCACACCTAAGATCTTGGCAGAGCTAACAACAGAGAGATCCTTCCCATTAACGGTTACAGGCTCCAAAGCATGGTTGTTTTTCTTAAAGTCGATGTTCATGACTTTACAATTATTGGCATTTAGGGTCATTCGTTGATCGCCTGATCAGGTTTCAACAGCATGAGCAGCACTTTAGATGTTGCCCCACTCTCCTCGCGGCACGATCTTGGTTACAGTAGTGTCATCCACAATTTTTCCAGGAATGGAATCCACGGACCCTCAGGTAATTATCATTTGGATAAATAACCAGGGGCCCAGTTTAGTGCCATGCTGGACGCCAGCAGGGATAGGGCCCCATTCCGAGAAACAGTCCCTGGACAGCTTGACACGTTGTTGGTGATCTGTAAGAAAGTCAGTAACCCAGCAGGCGACACTCGTAGAAATAGATAGACTGAAGACCTTACGTACGAGTAGGGTATGGTCAATAAAGTCCAACGCCTTCCTATAATCAAATAGGACAACTCACACGGCAGCTCCACAACCGTCAGTGGCATTGGATCATTTGTGTACCATGGATATTAGGGCATGAAGGGTGGACGAAATTGGAATTCCTCCGTACTGGTTGGGGTCAATAACCTCCATCACAGCAGGGCCAATATGAAGACCAACCACGAAATTTTCCGCAATTTTAGACAGCGCCGGAGTCAGGGAGATAGGGCGAAGATGTTAACTGATATCCTCAACAGGTTTCACCTTTAGTATTGTGATAACATTGGCCATCTTCCATGCTGGCGGGAGTCTGTTCTCGGCAAAACTGCAGTTAATGATCGAAGACACAGGATAAGCAAGAATGTCAGCATACTCCTTAAGGAGCCAATTAGGTATCTCATCCGGTCCAGCCACCTTAGGGGGATTCAACTTAAGAAGCAACCAAAAAATGGCAGACTTAGGAATAGTAAACAGCGTGGATTCCACCCCGGGGGTAGGAACAAACTCCAACCTCCGAAAGGACTCCAGAGGCTCGACAAACGCAGCGTTGATCATATTTGCGATGTTGTACTCAGAGAGGCCTTCGGTGCCTTCAGTTTGTAAGAATGAAGTAACGGTGTCGGTATCAGTTGCAGGAGTCATTCTCGCAATTCACTTGACGGAGTTCCACCACTGGCTGAGTTTGGTATGCTTTAGCTGGTTAACTTTTGAAGTGTAAAATTTTCCATGGCGTGCCTTACGTTCTCGGTTCACCGCGTTTCGATAGTAATGGAAAAGACTGACGTCCCTCGCGTGGATCTTGGATTTCTTGACGGGCATGATAATGTCCAATCCAGTCTCGACAACGTCCGCAAACAGTTGGATTTTTGATGCGCAACCCTGCCTGCGCTCTACAGGCGACCAGCCAATTCCGCAAAAATAGCGACCGCGTTCGAGTTTCCTGCTGGCGCATGTGTCGCGGCGCGACATCTGCTTTCTCAAAGAGCCCTCTCTCCCAGGTCTCGTTTTAGGGCGCAAAATGACAACATTGTGATCGGAGAGTCCGAAAGGCGACAAAGTCTGTACAGAGTTCTTGTCGTACAGGTAGAGGAGGTTGGTTAAGACCAAATCCAAGGTCCATTCGCCCCGTGTTGGTTTGTTCACCAGCTGTTTTAATCTAAACTGAGTCCTCATGCAGTCCTCTTTCAAAATTCAGTTTGGAATGCAATTCTGTAGCGATACCGTACGATCACGTAAAGGGTACTTTTTATCAGCGTCATTACTAGTTGAAAACGTGAAAAAACTTCAATTAATAATTTACTAGGTTGGTGTTATTAATATATTCTGCGTGGTATATCCACGAGTTCGCCATTGTGTCATTTTGATGAAGAACAATTGTTAAATAGTTTGTAGCTTTAGCAAGCCTCTACGAGTTTAACTCATACATATGCAATTTATTAACCAGCTGATAAATTTGGCATAAATAGATATTTTTGCACCAAAATGAAACCTTCATTTTGCAAGGTATGGCTTGAACGACCAACTCGTCTTATACAGGAAATGTAGAGAGAGGTTCAGTTTTATTCAGCTCTGCCTCGGACATACAACATTAAGCGAACTCTTGCTTTGCCATCTGCTTCGTCAGACTTCGACAAAACCTCTTGGAGTATTAAATATTGTATTTGGGAACTTTTGTGGTAGCAAGCAGGGACAAACGAGATCTTTAGCTTGAAAACAATTTTCTTCAGAAAGTGTAAGAAATTTTTGTTTTCATGAATCCTTGTTCATTATTTCGTTATTTATCTGCTTTTTGACCCGCCGCAGCCCTGTTTACAAACGAGTGTTGTAAGTACACCTGTACCATTTTCTCTTGGAATCTGCATAATGCAAATTAACAGTACTTTTACGGTTATATGAGAAAATTACCCTAGTCCTATTTCAATAAAATGTCTGCTCTGTTGCACTTTGTAATATCCGTCGCACTTTTTAATGAAACTGTCACATCTTGTAGTACCGGACGGACTTTGTAAATATACTTTGTCGCAGTTTTTAACAAAAAGCTGTCGCATGTTTTAATAAAAATAGCTCTCGCATTTTTCGATAACAGACAATCGCTCTTCGTAAAAACGTGAATTGTTGCACTTGGTAATAACACTTATCAAACTTCGTAATAAAGTTGCCGTAGGTGGTTTGAGGCGAGTAAACCCACCAAAAATAGCCATCGTCCCTGTCTTTAACGAAAACTGAATAATAATAATAATAATAATAATAATAATAGTAATAATGATAGCAACTATTTAGTTCCAAATCTGCGATCCACAAATACACCGCGTACAAGAACGCTCTACGCGAGGGTCAAATATAGACATTTTATTTTACTATTTGTATATGCTCAAGCTAAATTTCTGCCCAACTTGAAAAAACTCCTTGATGAAGTCTGCCATTATCTAACGAAGCGTGTAGGAGATTAAAACAAGCTTTTTATCATTCAAGTTCGTCCAGTGCTGTTCACTACTTCATCATTTAAAACAAGTTATAAAGAGGTTCCATGAAAGAAAACAATTTTTCGGACTGAAGTGTACCAGACCATTTTAAAAGAGGCAAATGGTCATAGCTTTGGTTATATCCTTCACGCTTTCTGACATCACATGTTAATTCAAGACTTAACGATTGTACTATACTCAATAGTTGTATGAACAATAAAGTTCTCTAGATAATCGATATCATAGTTCTTCATGATGTTAGTGATTATCGCGCAAAACAGGAATACTTCGTTGCTATCGCTATCCGAACAAATCTCAATACATTGTGTGTACAGAGAACTTTAGCGTTAGAACATTATCATTATCAGTAATATTAGTATTAACGTTTTTATAGACAGGAATGATGGTTATCATCGAGTTTACTCGCCCTCCAACCATCTTATACTAAGTTTATACAAAGTGCGACAGCTTTATTACAAAATGTGAATATTTTATTACAAAGAGCGACGATTGTTACCAGTGCAAGAGCGTCACGATATGAAAGAGTACTGACCCTATTATAAGGACAAGCTAAAGAATTTCACTAAAGGTACCTGAGCCTAGGTTTCGAGTAATCTGAAGATACACGAGATTTCGATTATTGAATACGCCATCAAATTATCAGAAAAGGCAGCTAATGTTGGAGCAAATAGCCCAAATGCTTCTGTTGAAGATTGGAATCTTTATCCCAAAAAGAATGTCTGGTGTCTATGTTGTGATTCAATTTTATGCTTGGTTTAAATTTTATTTTCCATCGTTTTTGGTTATGGTAATGTATGATAATAGGGTTGAAACAATAGAAAATAAAATTTAAACCAAGGATAAAATTGAACCACAAAATCTATATGATGTCTTATGCATACTCTTAATAATAATTACAAGTTTTCATTTTCTATTTGTATTGAATATGGCGAAATTAATTTTCCCTGGTCAATTACAAGTTTTTATTTTCTATTTGTATTGAATATGGCGAAATAAGTTTTTCCCCAGTCATTCTTCTGGTGACTACTCAAAGTTATTCAAAGATGGAACTTCGAGCTACTACACTATTGTTTCATTATTACACGACTCTGGAAGTCAGAGGGCCAATAACTAAAATCAACCAATCAAAATGCTCTATTGCCGGTCAATATTCTCTCATAATTGAACTTGTCACTTACATGTAGACAGCTGTCGGTTCTCAAGATGGTAGCGTTAATCCTAGAGACGCTTTTACTTCGTGTGTTTGTTACGATTGTGCTCTAAATCTAAATCTATTTAGTTTTACTTTCCCTCTCTTTAGGATCTAAATTAGAACACACGCTAGAAGGCACAGAAACTAAGTGTCTGTCTGTATTCCGGAAACCTCAAGGTGTAGATAATAACGTTTATAAAAGAGTTACTGAACTGCAATATCTTCATGACATGAACCACTGTATAGGCATACGGTCGCTGACTGCATGACATGCAAAATGAAAATAACAGGTTTGTAATCTGATGTGGACACCAGGTTAGGAGGAACGTTGCCGTTATAATAACCAATGTTTTTGCCAGTTTGTTGTTTTGATTATCTCCCTGGACTTCGTTCGGAAGTCCACGAGGTTTTTTACTCCATATCAAAATGTAAGAGGTGGTTATCAGCAGAAGAGGCGTTAAGAGAAATGCGTTTGACATGACTGAAAGCATCATTCGAGAAACAACCTCAAAATGATAGAGCAGTCGAGATGAAACTCCCAGCAAACCAAGTAACCACGGGAATCCGATGGCGCACGATTGAAAATACGATTTCAGCGCACGATGGCGGAAGGGCCATACGATGGCGTGCATTCTCACCAGTGAAATGCAAGCCAGAGTAAAAATAGACACCATTCCTGTAAATATATCTAAGCATTGAAATACGAGTACCAACAACTTTTCATGTGGATGGATACCAACAGCAATGTACAGGGGAACTGATAAGGTTCCCACGAATGTGTCTGCAATGGCCAGGCTTAATAAAAGGAAACGAAAGCGCTCCAGAAATTTCCGTTTTATAAACATCACGATGGCAACGAGATTACCTACAGTTACCATTGTCGCTATCAACGTAAATGTCACGGACCAGAACACGTTCCAAGTGGAGAAATCCATAGCGCGGTCAAAGATATGCAAAATTAAATAGCAATGAACATGCAACTTAATATATGTATCCCTGGAAATTGATAGTCAACATGCATATACCTGGTTCATTCATATGCGATTCCTCATTCAATGTGGCAGACGGACATCGTGGCAGCAGTGCCTGTTGAAACCTAACACTTCGCCACCTGCTTCTTGAAAGTTTAAACATCCCGGGGATGATAATGTTGCCCAGTCTTCGTAATTAGATGTGGGAAGAGTAGACTGTTTTGGTCTCAGGTAACCTTAAAAAAAAAGACTGCGCGAAATTTTTTTATAAAAGCGTTTTTACTATTTATTTAAAATTTTTTTTTTTGAGAAACGGGCTCCAGTTTCGAGTTCTCTCGGTTCAGAGTTCTGGTGCCGAAAATGATTGCGCGAATACGAGGCCAAGTGCGACAGTGGCAACTGTAAAAGCGTTTTTACTCTTTTTTTTATTTCCTATTTTTAATTAGGACGAGCAGTTAAGAATAAAAACCAACGATATCAAAGAATGACGTTTCGACGGCACCATGCCATCATTCTCAAATTCAAATAAATGCATTTTGTGAGTTTATTATATAGAAAAAGTACGCGTGAAGGTCTCAATGCATATGATTAAGAAATAAAAACGATGAATTAAAGATAAAAATGGGTGAATAAAATATAAGCGTGGTGCGCTTGAACTGTCAGATAATTAGGATGATGTCGTTTAATCTGCATGATCTAAACTCATGATGTTTGTAATTTTATCATTAAAGACCTTGAAATAATTAACTCGAGCAAAATTATTAAATATCTATAACTTCAGGGGAAAAACTATGACCTGTTTACTTCCTTCGACAGGAAGACATTCAATTTTGAAAGTATTAAAACCTTTGAAGTAACTAACAAATACGGTGTTTAATGGCAACAACCTGCGTGTTTTTTCAACAAGATCACAATCTCTTCTAACTTTTGTTAAGATAGGTCGGTCGGAAAAGAGATCGAACACTGTACAGCAAAAAAGCTTTTGAAGATATGTACATTAATTTTGTATGTTTGGTTCGAAGTTTTTTTTCTTCCCAAATGTGCGAAACAGCTGGCTTTTTAAGCCACACGGATAGTGTTAATGGCTACCAACTTTCCAACGGCTCAGTTTTGGAGATCGTTAAAACAATGAAACTTGCTCGAACATCAATGCTATCGAAGAATAAGGGAACGATTGTCTACTTTTCCGCTGTCATTTCATGTTAAAGAATGGTTAACACGAGAATTAGAATGTCTCGAAAAGATGTTAGTGTTCAGAGCATTAAATGGACACCAGGTGAATATGAAGGGTCCCGTTACAAGAAAGACTGAGTGGCCGGCTTTCAATTAAAACTATTTTTCTATTTATTTTTTTCCAATTTTTGCGAGAGATATATCATTATGGGATTGGTTATTCGTTTTTCGACCAAATTAAAGCATAAGCAACAAAGGAAAAGGCTAGGGGTCCGTTTCTCGAAAGTCCCCTTAACTTAACAGGGCCCGAAGCTGCATTTTAAACTCAAAATTTTAAGAAAAGAGACGCAGGTTCTGAGCTGTTCATTTTGTTGTTATAGCGGATAGTTTTATTCTGCAATTTTCAAAACTTTGAAAACCGCCATCTTGAATTAGAAAAGCGGCTTTACGCATACGGGCCCGTTTAATTCCCGCCGACGTTCGAGAAACGGGCTCCAGTTTCGAGCTCTCTCGGTTCAGAGATCTGGTGCCAAAATTACTGCGCGAAAACGAGGCCAAGTGCGACAGAAAAAAAAGTCATCTACAAGAAATGATCTCTCTCAAAGGTACAAAATAAGCAGTTAAGACTGCACATGGCTACTGCTCCTGCGTGAAGTGCACATATTTATGAGTCACGCTTCCACAAAAGAAGGATGACTAAAGAATATAGTGACTAATGACACTAAACCACCAATAATTGAATGATAATAATAGTAATAGTAATAATAGTAATAGTAATGATATTAATAATGATGATGACAACTGACTTTTTAGTGGTAATGATAACTTGTAAGAACCTCACTCCTCCTCTATCGGTCCTTTCTCTACGCTTCAATAATGACTAGGCTTCTTTTAATTTAATTTTGCCGGTTAATTATACATTATTTTCTTAATTCATTGGAATTCCATTTATGTGAGACTATTGTTTCTCGTAACAAGGCATACCATGTTGTTGGATATTCCGCCACTCTACCGTTCCAAAGGGTCACTGTTGACCTCGAGGTATCGTATTTTGAATCTTGTTCGCTTCGCAAATTTTGCGGCTCTTTTTAGCATTTATCGCTGATTGAAATGGTTAAGTGCTCTCCTTTGGAATAAAAGTTATTTCAAAGCCTCCACGTACGATGTGCAGATGAAACATATGTAGATACTAATGAAAGGAAAAGTCTTTTTTCAATTACGTGGGGGAGAAGCCACTGTGAAATAATTTTTAGATGTCTATCATCTTTTGTGGTGTCACGGCAAGAACTGAAAAAATTACATCTTCGGATCTACTGGGCTTAATTTTCTGATTCAAACGGTAGAACTCCCTCAGCTCGAAAACAAAACTTTTAATTCAAGTTTTTACGATGCGCCGACAACACCATTAAGACATTTCTGCAAGATAAAGCTTTGTTTTTCACTCGCCATCCTGAAAAAATGGTGAGATGCTCATCGTTTTCTGAAGTTAGTCCGAAACAGACAATATATAAGTGCCATGGGCAAATAGTGTGATCACGTGCTAATTCCGAGTTACATTCCAAGCGATTAGAAGAAATCGTCACCAAGCGTTGAACGACCGAAGATGTTCCGAAACAAACAAAAACCAAGAGCTTGGAATATCGAGTAAAACTCGGTAGACTTTGTTTTGGGCGAAGAGGTTGTTCATATCTTATTGTTACGCTCAGTCACTGAACAGGAAAAGATTAGGGCTTCACCTCCATAGCTATAGGAGGTAGTTGCCTCAAAAAAGACTAGTAAATAACCAAATCTCCCTTTGAAGCCCCTCATCAGTTTTTCACCTAAACTTACAACAGACTAAACTTACAAAAAAAAGAATTGATTTAACAAATAAGAAAACAAAAAGAGGTGATGATGAACTTGCATTAGACATGAAGTCCTATTCAGTAACACGCTGTCCTATATACGAAATAGTAATAACGAGTTAGAATGGAATGAAAAGAGAAAAAAACTGTTATATCAGAAGCTACGTTAACTGATTTTCGAAAAATTTAAAATCAAACTTTCTACAGTGTCCACCATTCCTCACTGACCATCCGGGGTTCAATCTTCGTTAAAATTTGAAACCAATGTTTGACTAGTCTGAAATTTTCAAAGTGGCCGAAGTCATGCTACGATGGATGCAAATTACTTCGACCAGGCTTTTTTTGTTTTTTTGCTTCCTAAGATAGTTTTCAATATTGAGGCTGCTAGTGGACGAGAGAAACACTGCATTGATGGAACAATGACAGCTAGAGTAGGCTTTAGCCTTAAAGGAAGCGTTATGAAAACGCTACTCGTCCCAAGTCTTATTTGTTGCGCCCAGCACTGTCTAAAAGAGTCTAGATGTATTTCAACAAATTTTAAATTTCTGATACAAGAAAACAACGTGGTGTGCGAATTAAATGATGCAGCTCTTTTGGACGAGAAGAAAAATAATTTATCCCCAGAGGATGACGATGTATTTTCGCAGTACTGTAGAAAGAAGGTAAAAATACCTCGGTACAGTTAACCAGAAGATATTTGTGGCTTTCAGGTGCAAGGAACACAAGGCAGCTTCCCTTCGTATTGTTTTAGAGTTGATTAAACTTTCATGATTGAAATTTTGCCTAATTCAACAGCGTTGTCATAATTTGAATGATCTCCAAAGTAAGTGCGTCTTCTGCGTAAGGTCCTTGGTATTTAAGACAGCTGTCTTTTCATAATACCGCTGTTACGCTCATTTTTTTGCGAGTCTGATTCCTCTTTCTTTCTTTCCCTCTTTAGAAAGTCCACCAAGTCCAAGAGGTTCAAAACTAGGAAACCTATCATGGTATGTTTTTACAATAAGTAGGCGTTAAAATATTATGTCTGTCCATCTAAAGAGAGATCTGGAAGAATTACTCTCGAGACTTGCTCAATATGCGCTTTTTTTCACAATGAGAAAACGCACTGTGTAGATTCTTGTGCGGCCAACATAGGTCAAAACTCAGAGGGAAAACTTAATCGATTAACTTTTAGAAGTTTGGATTCATTTGGTGCCGTGCTCATTAAGAACACTGTAAAAATCCATATAAGCAAAGAAAAATGAATTGGATGAAATTTTCAAGAAATGGTCCCTAGCGGTGGGAGGGAGACCAGTTGGTTATCAAACTTCGAGGTGTCACGTAGTGATGGAACCTATTACTCAGAAACACAAGTGATTTACCGGGGTGTAGCCGAGGTGGAACCGGGGTGGAGCCGGGGTGGAGCTGGGGTGGAGCTGGGGTGGAGCCGGGGTGGAGCCGGGGTGGAGCCTAGGCATTTATAGATTATGCTAGTAAAAGTGGCATATTATGCTAGTAGCATTGCTTTTTTTTTTGGCAAAATTATGCTAACATTATGCTCTTTTTTCCAAATTATGCCACCGTTTTTTAAAATTATGAAAAAATTCTTTGAAAAAATGCAAATAAGTCCAAAATATATATTTTTTAACTAGAAGCCGTTCGTCTACAGGAAAGAAACGCAACAAATCCACAATGAATTTCAAA